TGAGCAGCCCTGATGCAGCCCCTGTGAGCCTACCTTGCATGGGGTGCCCCCTTATCTTGGGAAATGTAAGTAATAAAAATCTTTCGGGGGCTCGCCCAGTGGCACAGTGGTTAAGTTCGCACGTCCCCTTTCGGTGGCCCGGGGTTCGCCGGTTTGGATCCCAGGCGCAGACATGGCACCGCTTGGCAGGCCATGCTGTGGTAGGCATCCCACATATAAAGTAGAGGAAGATGGGCACGAGTGTTAGCTCAGGGCCAGTCTTCCTCAGCAAAAAGAGGAGGATTGGCAGCAGATGTTAGCTCAGGGCCAGTCTTCCTCAGCAAAAAGAGGAGGATTGGCAGCAGATGTTAGCTCAGGGCAGATCTTCCTCACCAAAAAAAGCATACCTTAAAAAAAGAAAAAAGGCAGTAGCTGTCTTTGGGAGAGAAAGGATCAAAAACCAATTGGTTTGGGTTTTGAAAGGAAGGGACTGTGTTAAAATTTTTTTTCCTCTCTCTTGACTGGGCCCTACAGACAGTGATCCAGGAAATCAGGGTCCGGTAAGAATTCTCACCCCATACTGGCTTTTGCCATTGCTCCCAGGATTCCATCTGCAGGCTCTAAGTGGAGTTTAGACAGCATAGCTCCTATTTACCAGAATTTGCCAAAGTTTTTCAATAATTGTAATTATAGTTTCTATTGGCTGTTTAACGGAATAGTGTAGTAATTTACTAGAAAATCCCTCAGAGTCCCCTCACCATTTGGAAGGGCCTATGTGGAGGCCTTCCTTTGAATGTAGATATGGGGGTGTCTGTCAGAACTTTTGTTTATTGTCATGTAGCCTTGTTTTAGGTATATCTTATATCTTTAATTTTTCATTAAGTTTTTGCAATGAAACTTTCAATAATCAATGTTTGTAACTTTGAAGATTTTATTTTTAGGTGCATTTCTTAAATGATCTTCTCTAATTGGAACATTCCTTGTAATAACCATTCTTATTTCCCTGAGAGCTGACAGCAGTTTGGTGGGACCCTTAGCTGTAAATGGAGCATCACCCACGTTTCTGTCCAGCCTGATCTAGCTGCACATGGGGTGCAACTCACTCTTCTATCCAGCCTTGTGTTGGGGCCGCAACCTGAAGATTACCAAGCCAAGCTCTCATGACACAAAAAATCTTAGTAAGATGTTGCCCTTTTTTTGAAGATTTTATTTTTCCTTTTTCTCCCCAAAGCCCCCCGGTACATAGTTGTGTATTTTTAATTGTGGGTCCTTCTAGTTGTGGCATGTGGGACGCCACCTCAGCATGGTTTAATGAGCAGTGCCATGTCCACGCCCAGGATCCGAACTGGCAAAACCCTGGGCCACTACAGCGGAGCACACGAACTTAACCGCTCAGCCACGGGTCTGGCCCTGCCTTTTTTTTTATTTCCTGAAGGCAGCAAATTGTTGGATCTTGTTCTTTAATCCATCTCGACACTCCCTGTCTTTTTTATTGGAGAATTCAATCCCTTTACATTAAAGGTGATTATTGATGTATGAGGGCTTCATGCTGTCATTATATCACTTGTTTTCCAGTTTTCCTGCATTTCCTTTGTTTCTCGTCCTGTTTTGTTGTACCCATTGAATTATGTAGTTTTGTATGACGTGTTTCTTTGTTTTCTCTTTCTTTATTTTTTGTGTCTCTGTTCTGCTTTTTAGTTTAGTGGCCACCTTGAAGTTTGTGTTCAGAATCTCGTGTATATCATAGTCCATTTTCTGATGGCCTCTTATTTCCTTAGTCTAAACTGATTCAGTCCCTTTCCTTTTCCCCTCCTAAGTTATTTTTCTCATATCATATTCCAACTTGTGTTGTGAGTTTGTGGTTAAAGTGACAAGATTGTCTTTGTTTTTGGTGTTTTCCTTCCCGTAAGCCTAATGCTATAGTTGAATATTTGCTATCCTATTCTGATTGTAACTATCTCCTTACTCTGTGTTTTGTGGCCCCTTTCTCCCTTTTTTTATTTTTTCAAGTACGAGGGCCCTCTTCAGGATTTCTTAGGGTGGGGAGGGGAGGTCTCGTGGCTACAAAGTCCCTTAGCTTTTGTTTGGGCAAGATTTAATTTCTCCCCCATATCTGAAGGATATTTTTGCTGGATAGATTATTCTGGCTGAAGATTTTTATCCTTTAAAGTTTTGAATATGTCGTTCCAATCTCTCCTAGCTTGTAGGGTTTCTGTAGAGAAATCTGCTGAAAGCCTGATACGGGTTCCTTCTGCCTTTCTGCCCTGAGTATTCTTTCTTTGTCCTTCATTTTTGCCAGTTTTACCACTATATGCCTTGCAGTAGGTCTTTTTACATTGACAAGTCTAAGAGGTCTGGAAGCTTCTTCCACACATATTTCCCTATCTTTCCCTAGATTTGGGGAGTTCTCTACTATTATTTCTTTAACAAGCTTTCTGCTCCATTCTCCTTCTCTTCGCTTTCTTGGATACCTATAATTCTTATTTTGCATTTCCTCATTGAGTCAGATATTTCTCAGAGACTTTCTTCATTTCTTCTTAGTTTTAGTTGTCTCTCTTCCTCTGTCTGGAGCATTTTAATTATGCTGATTATGCTGATTCGCTCCTCTGTGATGTCCATTCGAGCATTCAGGGAATTGTATTTTGTTTTATCTCTTCCATTGTGTCTTTTGTCTCTAATATTTCTGATTCTTCTTTATACTTTCAATCTCTTTTGTGAAGTAGCTCCTGAACTCGTTGAATTGTTTCTCTGCATTCTTTTACCTCGTGGAGTTTTTTGATGATGGCTATTTTGAATTCATTGTCATTTAGCTTACATATTTCTATGTCCTCAGGACTGAGTTCTGGGTGCTTATTGTATTCTCTGTGGTCTGGAGATTTGATGTAGTGTCTGGTGTTGGAAGGTTGGGTCTTTCTCATTCTGGTATTATTCACTTGCAGTTACAGCCGATCGCCACTGGGTGAGGATTGAGAGCTGTGTATCCTGAGCCCTCTGCCTTCAGCTGAGATGGGGTGGGGTGGCGCGGGACGGGGCGGGGCAGGAACGCTTTCTCCAGCTTCTAAGTTCCTTAAGTGCAGGATCGGAAGTTGGCAGGGCATCATCTATAGTGGCTGGATGGGAAACACTTCCTATTGAAGTTGAAGAATTGACATTTTATGTTCTTTGGAGGAAAAGTACTGTTAAATCCTTCAGATATTCTATAATCATTGGCAAATTGACTATCAAACCATTGTGGACTTCAGTGAACTCCCTTGCAATGTGTAGCTCTTAACCTGTCCCTCAAGCCTGGCAGAGTGCTTGTGTTTGACTGGAAAGAGCTGTTCTCGCACATTCTTGTCTCACTATGTGTTCTAAAAATTGGCAGGAAGTAGCCTTGAGGCACGTGAGTATAGCAGTTTTATGGTCTCAGTTGTCACACCTCCTTCCTTTGTCTGAGCTCTAAGTTCCAAATAACTTTCTGGTCCCACCAAATCATACAGAGAAAGAAAGAAAGAACTGGGTCTGTGATAAATATTATGTGTTAAAAGTGATGCTTCCCCATAGGAATATTTACATTCAGCCAGCTGCATCTGATCCTTGTAATGATGGCCTGTAGTACTTTAGGACAATGTGGCCAGCTGGCCTTCATTAAAGGTTTGATTTCTACAGGTCCCCTAGACTCTCTTTTTGGTGATGGGAGTAGAAAAAAAGTTTCCAGTTCTTCACTATGTTTTTATCCATTGAAACCTCATGCAGATTTGACCCTCTGCCTCATGGAGTGCTGTAACTGGTGGATAATAAGGAAGGAGATGAAAGAATTTTTCTCACAAAGAATCGTCAGTCTTTTTTTTTTTTTTTTTTTAATATTCTGAATGGTGTTTTTTTTATTATTATTTTTTTATTGAGTTATTGATAGGTTACAATCTTGTGAAATTTCAATTGTACATTAATGTTTGTCAGTCATGTTGTAGGTGCACCACTTCACCCTTTGTGCCCACCCCCCACCCCACCTTTCCCCTGGTATCCACTAAACTGTTCTTGGTCCATAGTTTTAAATTCCTCATATGAGTGGAGTCATACACAGATTATCTTTCTCTCGCTGGCTTATTTCACTTAACATAATTCTCTCAAGGTCCATCCATGTTATTGCAAATGGAATGATTTTGTTCTGTTTTGCAGCTGAGTAGTATTCCATTGTATATATGTACCACATCTCCTTTATCCATTCGTCTGTTCATGGGCACTTAGGTTGCTTCCACGTCTTGGCTGTTGTGAACAGTGCTGCAATAAACATTGGGGTGCACAGGACTTTTGGGATTGCTGACTTCAGGCTCTTTGGATAAATACCCAGTAGTGGGATGGCTGGATCGTATGGTGGTTCTATTTTTAGTTTTTTGAGGAATCTCCATACTGTTTTCCATAGTGGCTGCACCAGTTTGCATTCCCACTAGCAGTGTATGAGGGTTCGTTTTTCTCCGCAACCTCTCCAACATTTGTTGCTATTAGTTTTAGATATTTTTGTCATTCTAACGGGTGTAAGGTGATATCTTAGTGTAGTTTTGATTTGCGTTTCCCTGATGATCAGCGATGATGAGCATCTTTTCATGTGCCTATTGGCCATCAGTATATCTTCTTTGGAGAAATGTCTGTTCATGTCTCCAGCCCATTTTTTGATTGGGTTGTTTGATGTTTTGTGGTTGAGTTGTGAGAGTTCTTTATATAGAATCGTCAGTCTTAAAGTGATAATACTTGTTTAATTCCTTAAAATTTCTGTCATTTCCTAATATCCTCTGTACCCTGCCATTGCAGAGAAATGTGATGTAACATGATGACACTAAAAATGTGTAAATAATTTCCATGTGTTCACAATGCTGTTAAATTGGTGAGGAAGTGTGTATAGGAAATGAGTTTTTGATGATCACAACATAGAGTAAATGCTTGGAGATGACGGAATCATTTATAATCTTTGTCCTTATGGAATGTAGATCCCCAGTGCTGTCAGGCTCATGTATCCTGCTCTACACATATTTGTGGTGTTTTAGGACTCAGTGGACATTGAGGACGTGGCTGTGAACTTCACCCTGGAGGAGTGGGCTTTACTGGATCCTTCACAGAAACAACTCTACAGAGAGGTAATGCGGGAAACCTTAAGGAACCTGGCCTCTATAGGTAAGAGTGAGGACATTCTTTCACTCCATCAATTAGAGAACAAGTGTTTCTTGCCCATCAACACTGTTCCAAGATGTAGAATGTGGCAATGGGGGTGTTGGTAAATAAACGGTCATAGCTCATCATGGACTTAAATCTAAAACTTTTTCTATAATTTCTAATACTTTGGAATAATCTTTCTGGGTCTGCATTTTAGGAAAAATATGGGAAGATCATAATATTGAAGTTCAGTACAAAAACCAGGAGAGAAAACAGAGGTGGGTCACACTCACAATAGGAGGCAGTGTGCGATGTAAGAATTCTGGTATGTTATGAAATTTTAAAAAGAAACAAAGAAAATGAATAACCCTTGCTTCAAATTTAGCAAATCTTAGAAAATTGTCATCAAATATACATTCTGAAATGTGATGTAGAGGATCAGTTATTGCAAAATATTTCACTTGTTAATAGGATTAATGAACTCTATATAAGAATATCACTGTTTTGATCATATGAAGGTGAAAGCCTCTTGTAGAGCATTCATTATAGAATTGAGACAAGACAGAAAACCTAAATGTTTTTTATGAATCATAATAACTATAACAAATACAAAATCATAAATAATGTGCTTCTTATTTCTTACAGTGGTCATATGGTAGGGAGACTCTGTGAAAGTGAAGAGGGTAGTCAGTGTGGAGAAAATTTTAGCCTTATTCCAAATCTCAATCTGAACGAGAAACCTACAGGAGCTAAACCATGGGGATGCAGTGCATGTGGAAAAGTCTTCATGCATCATTCATCCTTTAAAATGCACATTAGATGTCACACTGAACACAAACCATGTGACTATCAAAAATATAGAGAGAAGCCATTTAAATGTAAGGAATGTGGGAAAGCCTTCCCTTTTCCAAGTGCTCTTCAAAGACATGAAAGGACACATATTGGAGAGAAACCCTATAAATGTAAAAAATGCAATAAAGCCTTCACTTCTTCCAGTTCTCTTCAAGTACATGAAAGAAATCACACTGGAAAGAAACCTTATGAATGTAAAAAATGCGGTAAAGCATTTCATTTTCCCAGTTCTCTTCGAAGTCATGAAACTATTCATACTGGAGAGAAACCCTATGAATGTAAAAAATGCAGTAAAGAATTCATTTTTTTGAGTTCTCTTCGAAGACATGAAAGAATTCATACTGGAGAGAGACCCTATGAATGTAAAAAATGCAGTAAAGCATTCTGTTATCCCAGTTCTCTTCAGATACATGAAAGAATTCATACTGGGGAGAAACCCTATGAATGTAAAAAATGCAGTAAAGCATTCACATTTCCCAGTGCGTTTCAAAGACATGAAAGCACTCACATTAGAGAGAAACCCCATGAATGTAAAAACTGCAGTAAAACATTCAGTTCTTCCCGTGCTCTTCAAATACATGACAGAACTCATTCTGGAGAGAAAATTTATGAATGTAAAAAATGCAGTAAGGCCTTCACATCTCCTAGTGCTCTTCGATTACATGAAAGAATTCATACTGGGGAGAAACCGTATGAATGTAAAAAATGCAGTAAAGCATTCACTTTTTCTGCTTCCCTTCGAAAACATGAAAGAACTCATACTAGAGAGAAACCCTATGAATACAGTAAAAACTGCAGTAAAGCATTCACTTCTTGCAGTTATCTGATTGTATGAAAGAATTCACACTGGAGAGAAACCCCGTGAATGTAAAAACTGCAGTAAGGTATTCACGTCTCTCATTTCACTTCAAAGATGTGGAAGAAGTCACACTGGAGAGAAAGCCTATGAATGTCAAGAAAGTGGTAAAGCCTTTATTTCTCATGCAAACTTTTGAAGATATGCACGAATGCATAGTAGATGAAAAAGAATGTAAATGTAATGAATGTAGGAGAGACTTTTGTCATCCCAGTTCTTCCTGAAGGCATGAAAGGACTCACTTGATAAAAACCCTTGAATGTAAACAGCGTGGGAAAGACTTCAGTTGGCCTACATCCTTCTCTTTGAAACTCCCACCAAAAAGAAATATAAATGTAAGTAATATGAAAAAACTTGTTGGAAGTTAGTTTGTATAAATGTTCTAGAAAACTTTCAACATGAAAGAGTTGTTATAAAAGCTGTAAATATATTGTGTTTGTCAAGCCTCTTAAAGTGCAAAATTAGATTGTGGGTTTCTATTAATTGCTTTCAGAAATGAGTATTGCGGTGAGAGAGTTCTGCAAGTGATCCTTCATCAATACTATGTAAGATTAATCAGTAGTGCTTTTTCCTTAAATCAGTTAATGATATTTTCTCTGTAATTTTTTATAATGTCTTAGTTGTTCTCTGTTAAGAGACCATTGAAAAATGACAGCTTGTACTTGTTGGCATTTTCTTATTGGCCTTGTGTTCTAGTTCCTGGATATGCCTAATCGATTGTACATTTTGTACCTTTCTTAGAGAAAGCTCCTTTGATGGGGTGGTGGGTATAGGAGCCTGTTTTTATTTTCCACACTATTGAACGGTTGTAATAAAATTTTTTTATGGTAAGTTTGTCAAAAAGTATACTTTCCTGTGAATTTATTTTCCTCTTTGGGCTTTTGCTCTTTGTCCTTCCTTCTGACTGGTATTTGGTGAATAGACTTTGCATTAAGTAGAGGCCTGTGATAGGGCAACAAAATCTAGAGCTGGACACATCACCATGTATTGTGTTATGTCAATACAGGTAATATTCAGAAACAGATCTTTAAGAATCCATCCCCTTTATGGTTCCATGTTAGAATTCACCAACAGTGTCACTTGCATGAGATTTGGAAGGCAGAAGCAGACGAGGCCTTAATCAGATTCTGGAGCCACCATACAAGAAGAGGGACAGTTGCATAGGAGCTTCAAGGACACCATCCTCAATCCCATTTTGTCGATTCTTTGCTCTTCTAGGCAAGAGTATCTTGAAAACCAACACCAACTGTTTGGATTTCTATTTTCTTAGAGGTATATTTTCCACTATTTCACAAGGTCACATCAAAGATCCATTAGAGTTGGGGTCTTTCTGTAAGGCTTCTTGTGTCCACCGGGAAACTAATTCAGACCTTTGTGGTGGGAGTATTCTCTGATTTCTCTCTTTCCTAGATGATATCTGTATGAAGTCTAATTTGTATAGGAAACACCTTATGCTGTTAATAGTGCTGGTGATTGTGTTTTCCTGTTTCACCATGACATCATTGCTACAATGGGGCATAAAAAGAAGGATGTAGGAGTTTGTTTCTCTGCTGCACTGTGCAGTGGCTGCCTTGACCCGGTTCTTCTACATGAGAACAATCACATTTCTCATGTCAGGAGGACTCTGTGTGTTTCCTGTTACTTTTAGCTGAATATGTTCCCTCAATATGTTTTCAATAATGTTTGATTCTATGTCATTAAAACTGTGTGTGTTTCCTTGTGAAATGAACACCTCTGTAGTTGTTTCATTGATATATTTTGTCAAATGTTTTCTAATCCATCCTATGTTAATAAATACTATTGTGGTTTTATTTCTTCAGAATGTATTAAAATTCATTTTAATTATGGGTTTTCAGATATACCTTGCAATTTCCTTCATTTAATCATTGTACATTATGAGTTAATTTTGTCGTGTGCATTCAAATTCAGGTATTTTTTCCTCAGGCAAGTTTTAATTTTTATTCTTTTATAATTACCATTTTTGTCCTAAAACTAATTCCTAATTTATTCTTAACCCAAAACTTAAAAATCATGGTTTTTCAGTGCCCTCTTGCCAGTGACCTGTAGGATTTCACCTGCAGTGAAAGAGAGGGATGTAATGAATTTGAGGAAGAATGACCACAGACTATAGAGGACGGTGAGGAATAACAGTAACAGGGTGCTCAGAGGACTGCTTACAAGATTTTGGCCTGTGGCTGTTGATTTGATTGCTATTCAAGGAGGAAGGTCACTTTCTGTATTGAAAGCTGTGAGGAGGTAAACTTAATTTTTTGTAAGAATTTTGTCCTTGGTAAATATAATCATTCTTTTCTAGAAGGCAAAAACAATGCAGTGGAGCAAAAGTTATTTTCTAAGAAGTTCCAGTCAGTCATTTTAGTAAGAAGACAGGAAACTTAGTCTTATTTATTATTTGTAATTTTATCTTTTACCATTTTTACTGGCACGATTACAAAACACTTTTAGTTTTGTCCTGGTAATTGTGTACTCTTGTTGAAGGAGGTTTTTGAGATTTTTCTGTTCAGCAGGATAAGACTTGGCCTTGCAGTGGATGCAGCCAGCTCCTGGTCCTCTGGAACAGCTTTTGTCTTTCCTACTTATCATCAAAACACTGATGTATTTCCTATGGTGTACTAGACGCTGTTGACCATAAAGGATCTCAGTGAAATTATATAAATTCACTTCTTAGTACACCACATAATATATTTACTATCTCCTGTATGACTCAACCAAGGGCTTTGAGTTTAGGTAAATTGTGAGATAATGCAAACCTAGCAAGGGAGAGAGACAGGACCACTGTGCCAATCCAGCCTTTCTTTCTCAGAGACTGTGCTCCTGATGCTAATATTTCAACATCCCTCACCTGCCATGCGCTTTAGAGTCAGTGTACCCAGTGTAGCAGAAATAAGGCGTGGTAGGATGTGGATATAGTGCTTGAAAGAAACAAGTCCTTGCAGTCCTGGTGCTTATGTATTTGTGGGAAATGAGAGATGATTACAAATAGTAAGGCTTTGTTTATGACATGAAGACAAGGGCTTTGAAGGAAAGTGAAAAGAGCATTGAGCTAATAGGGAGGCGGAGGTGTGCACACATCTCGTCTATGAGGGCAGGAGAGAGTGAGGATGTCATTGTTGTTTAGAGGTGATCATCCCAGGAGTAATTGAGGTGAGCTGCAGGGATATTATTTTGAGCAATATCCTAATTGAGTATAAAAGGTGAAAGGGGAAAGTTTCAACATATTTTCATCACAGGAGTGGCTGGAGGGTTTTTTTTGTAAGGAAGATTGGCCTTGAGCCTTATGTCTGTTGCCAATCTTTCTGTTTTTGCTTGAAGAAGATTGTTGAGCTACCATCCATGCCAATCTGCCTCTATTTTATGTGGGATGCCACTACAGTGTGGCTTGATGAGTGCTGCTAGGTCCATGCCCAGGATCCAAACCTCCAAACCCCAGGCTGCAGAAGCAGAGCACACAAACTGAACCACTACACCACTGGGCTGGCGCTGGCTGGAAGTCTTAATTTCAATGACCCACAAAGCCCCAGAGCCCATTCAGTTGTTCACAGGGATCATTTCCACATGCTTAGACATCCAGCACATTGTGTGGAAAAGTGGGAAACAGCAGTAACAGCTTCAAGGTTTAAAACAGCAAAGGAAATGGAATGTTTTCAGTTTTTCTTTAGTGTGAATTTATATATTGGAGTGGTATCATTCAAATGGGTACCACAGGAGTGTTCTTTTGGAGTGATGGCATATTTTTCATCTTTTGATGGTGGTATTTCTATACATTTGGGAAAACTCGTGAGTGCACTTCAAATATTTTATATATGTGGATGTATGTGTTATATATATATATAATTACTGGAAAATGAATAATTCCTTTCATATGCTAGACGAATGTTAAGCTCTTGTGAACCTCGATTTTGATGTGTTCAAATCATCTTTGTAGCACTGTGGGATCCTTCCTAGGAAGAATTGAAGGGCTGGGCAACAAGGACTCAGTCCTCAACAGGCATTTCTTGCAACCCTGTCTTAATTAAGAAAACACCCCCTAGGGTTGCGCCTGCCCTCAGCTCATACTCATAACTAGGAGTGAAGTGAGAGGGCTCCCAGACTCTGTCCTTGAGCTTAAATCCGGTTCGCGGACAGGTCTTTAGAAATACTTTGGTTCTAAAACCTAGAAGTTGATCCCAAAAGAGATTTGCCTGGGCTCATCCTCATTCATTTGCATCAGCATCACTTCCTCTCATTGCTGTGCATAGACTGTTTCCAGCTGTTTGTTTCCAAACCGAAGACTGCCCTGTACCTGCTGACTTAGAAACATCTTTAGAAATCCATGCCTGTCCCACTCTGGAAAATTTCTCTGAGGCAACATGAGCGGGCTGTGAGCTGAGAGGGTGACAGAAGCAGTGGTGGAACCAATGTCATGGGCACATCCTCACAGCCACAGCAACCACAACATCCCATATTCATGAGCTCTGCTTGCTTACTTATTCATACAACACTTAGAAATTGACTGAATTTAATAGGGAAACAAAGGGCTCTAGAAATTTTTGAAATAGCCGTCTCTCCATTAGCATCTCCCTTCACACATTCCTTTACCATAAAGGCTTTAGCAGCCTCCCATTATGCGTCCAGAGTCTCTAAACCTCTCACATAAATTACCCCAGGCATTGTTGTACTGAAATTATTCTCATCCAGTGCTGCACACAATTAGAGAAGCTACCGCTGGCAACTGACAGAGTCTTTTTGTAAATAGAGGCCCTTCCAGGGCCTGAGTTGATGGTCTTCCACAGCCAACTTCTCATGTTGCCTTGGGCCGTGAAAGTAGGACCCCTCCTTGCTAATCAGAGGACTTTTCATTGAAGAGATGTGGGTACTTACAGGATGGAGCCAAAAATGGTGCTTCTGGCATATCCTACTTAGAGGAGGAGGTGTGTTCCCCTCTTCTCTGATTGATAGACTCCATTGTGGGGGAGGTCACTTCCTGTTCTGGCACAATGGCCACTTGGGGAGTCACCTGGGAGCACAGAGTAGCCAGTGTGTTCATCTACTTTATAGAGACTGTGCTGCCATGACACCTGATGGAGTCCAGTGCAGAGATGCTGCATTCTTCTCCTAGATCAAACAGGCCATCTTTGATGAAAGAGTAGACCCAAGCATCAGATCGATTAGTCAAACTACAGACAGTCATGTTAGCAACAGAAATTCCCTGGCTCAGTATTGAACTCATGTACCTTTTTATAGGTCCTTTGTCATAACAGTGATCTAGCTGTCTCATTCCAACACTAACAACAGCTCCTGAGCTAAGATTGCCCCTATGGCATAAAGGACTCTGGGAATGTCTTACCTCAAAACACTCAAGCACAAACCGGGTCACCCTTTCCTCTGCACATATTAAACCTCAATCTGCAGAGGCTCATGTCATTGCTTACGGTGATAAAATGACCCGAATTTCTGAGACACATAGTGATGCATCAGACCTGATAGTGTTAACCTTGGCCCCGTGGGGGACGGGAATTGGCCACCCCAAGCTATGTCTCTTTGGCATGAGGATTATTTGGGGCTGCTTACTTTTAATAAGCTGCAGACAGGAAAGGAACTCTGAAAAGCAGAGTTTACTTACCCTTTGTTAAGAAACATTTACCTTGTAAAGGAAATCTCCATCTGTAAGGGTGTCTCCCTCTCTACCAGGAAGGAGGGATGACCTTATCTCTAGAAACTCTTGATAAATCAGAGTGGAAGGCAAGGACTTAAATCTGCATAATCTGGTAACCTCCTGTAACTGACTCCCCCCACCCCCAATATCCTCCTTTCTCTTTAGCTGAGGATGATATTTAAGGTGGTGGCTTCAGCCATTTTGGCGAGTTGCTCAGGTTGCCTGAGCCTCTCCCATGTGTGCATATTATAAAGCTTTGTTTAATTTTCTCCTGTTATTCTGCCTCATGTGAATTTAATTCGTTCTCCGGCCAGAAGAACCCAGAGAGGGTGGAGGGAATGTCTTCCTCCCCTGCAGCCCTATGATGCCACGTAATACAAAACTGTTTGGAGGTGTCTAACCTAAAGGCTCAGGCAAATTCAAGAGACTTCCCTCCTCTGCCATGGCTACCTTAGTGACTGACAACGAAGGTAATGTGAAAAAACAGGTCACTGGTCATATAATTGGACATACATTCCAGGCCAAGTAGGGGATGCCTCTAGCCGTTAGTGAATAGACATTGTAGGGCCCCTCACCTCCTTTGTTGGGGCACTTGCTCTGCTCATACCACGGTAGAAACATAGAAAAATTACGCATGCTATCATACAGAAACTCCTGAAACCAAAATGCAAGGATTCTCCAAGACACACTAGAAATTCCTGAAAATATCAGCTCATTTCTCAAAATACAAAACACTGGGCTCTTGAAAAAGGTATTCAATGGACCTTGTACCTCTCTTACAACCCCGGGCTACCCCGACATAGGCTGGCCTGGTGGCTTACTTACACAAACCTTCCTGTCTTCTAAATATGACTGCCTGCTCTTTGAGTCATCAGTTAGACTCAATGCGCAGTCTTTAGGGCCTCTTACTTTGTCCTGATCATCAGGCTCACTGGCACCTTATAAGAAGAGCCTTTCTAGAGTAGACATTTCTGTCAGAATTGTCACTCCTGCAGGTCTTTAGTTTATGGTAATAGGGCACCCTGGCCACCACTTATATCCCAAGTCTTCCTCCTAACATCACCGTAGTCTGTGTACCCTGTGTGTCAATAATTCATTTTGTTTGTGCTCCCTCCAAACCCTTCTAACACATCAAACACAAGTGTACTGTTTTCCTGCCATTTGCAAACACGTGCTTATTGTTGGAGTCACCAGTACTGACC